TATATATATATATATAGTAAGACTTATTAAAGTACAAATTAAGAAAGGTAAGCTTTATGGGAGCTTACCCATAGAGGAGAGGGCTCAGTGGTAAAGTGCTTGCTACACAAGCATGAAGACCTGAGTTCAGATCCCAGTACCCATACAAAAGGCCAGGAGTGGCAGTGTGTGCCTGTAACCTCAGTGATGGGGTAGGGGCCAGAGACAAGTAAATCCTGGGGCTTGATGTTCAGCCAATGTAGCCAGGCCCCAAGTTCCAGGTTCAGTGAGATGCTGTCTCAAATAAATAAGGTGGAAAGTGGTTAGAGGAAGACACCTGATGTTGAACTCTGGTCTCCACATGTGCCCGTAAAAGGGAGGGAGGGAGGAAGGGAGGGAGAGAGGGAGGGAGGGAGGGAGTGAGTGAGCAAGTGAGAGAGAGAGAGAGAGAGAGAGAGAGACTAAGATTAAAAAATTAACATCTTGAACTGGAAAGATGGCTCAGTGATTAAGAGCACTGGCTGCTCTTATAGAAGACCTGGGTTTGAGTCCCAGCACCCATATGGTGGCTAACAACAGTCTGTAACTCTAGTTCCAAGGGACCCAACTCTCTTCTCTCCTCCAGGGGCATTGCACGTCACAGGTGCACATATATATACATATACATATATTTGTATATGTATATATGTCTAGGTGTAACACTCATACACATAAAATAAAAATAAATAAATTTTAAAAATCAACATTTCAATTTCTAGAAACCCAGTAGTTAGTCCAATGGGCAAGCCCCTTTGAAGACCAGTGGTCTGGGCTTGTTCACAGTTTGTGACTTTGACTATGAGTTGGGAGAAAGCTGCTTGCTTGCTGACAGCTCTGTACTCCTGTCGCATGCGCTGTGCAGCTCCTACCAGGCACTCCACTCATGTTCTAGCTGGATGAATGGAGCAATGAATGGGGCATCAGGATTGGGAACGATCACAGGAGAGAGGGGAGGTTGTCTGTGAACCTCTGCAGGCTGCTGAGCCCTGGCTGCTTGGCAGGGAGGCAAACCACGCACTCACCAGCCTGGCTCTTCCCTGCTGGCCAACCTGCATTTGTAGGAAGTCAAAGCAGCCGCCAGGATTTCGATAAACCTCACACTCACAGAAACTCAAGAACGAAAGTGGTTATATCTACTGAGAGTGATGCTCAGAAAATGAACTTGTGTTTCCCTCTGCTCCCCGAATTGATGTGCCCCAATTCTCAGAGCTAGGGTTTGTGGTTAGAAGAAAGGCTATGTTAGATGGCGGGAGCAACTGTAGGCGTTGAAATATCAGTGTTTAAAGATCAAGCTCGCCTAAGGAGTTTTCAGTAATTCAAGCTGCTGAAATCTGGATGATGACTCTCATTCTCTGAGAAGGGCTCATCCCTTTCCTAAGGTACCTGATGACCCAGAACACAGGAGATTTAAAGATTCCTATGAGCTCTGTGAGCTGGGGACTTAGGAAAGGAAGTCACTGAACAATGGCATTGCAAATACACAAGGCAAAACTGACCCTCACATTCTCTCTCTCTCTCTCTCTCTCTCTCTCTCTCTCTCTCTCAATATATCTCAGTCTCTCTCTGTGTGTGAAATAAGCATACAGCCAAGTTTAGCTAACTGCCTGCCATCCAGTAGATTTCAAGAGATGTCAATTTCTTGGCCCTTTTTTTTGTGCTTTTGTCTCAGCTGTCTTCAAACTCCGGATCCATCCAAATTCTTTCTCTCTCCCCACCTACCTGAATCCCTGGAGGAAGTACCCCTCCACCAAATTCCTCCAGCACTTACTCTCTGGGCCACATAGTGTAGGAATGATCACACTCTGTCCAGCATTACCTGCAAATCGCTTTCTGCCTGTTTGTGCTGTGTATGCCTGCTCTGCATTTACAAGCACTGCTAACCTTAAGGGCAGCATGCACGGGACCCGGGATGGCTGCACTGGGTCCTATCCCTGCCACATACTGACATTACATCATCAAATCTCTGAACTTCAATTTCTTCAACTGTAACTCTGAGATAATGATTTTTGCCTTCCAGGGCTGTTGCTGGAGATAATGGGTGCGAAAGTGCGCAAATCATTGCCGAAAGTAAAGTGCTGTTATTATCACCTCCGTTGAGTCTATACAGCCCCTGCCTTCTCTGCCTGGTGGGGTGTAACTGATAAATACTTGATTGATTGAAGATGGAATTGCTCAGTGACAGCTCCATTCTTAGGCTGCGCTAACCTCTAATCCTGCAATTACTTCCTTCATTGGCAGTGAAAAACCTCTTGTTTCTACAGCCCTAAGTGCCCTCCGTCTTCAGCTGATTAGGCTAGGACAGCTGTATCCCGGGGGGGGGGGGGGAGGACAGAAATATGCCCCAAGAAGTTGACCCTAGGCTGCGCCATCATGCCTCAGACAGACAGCACCTGGTATCACCTGGAAAGGTGGGGGCAGCCTTGGGGGGCAGTCGCTGGGTAGGAGACTCTGCAAGCCCAAGGAACATAAAGCCTTTCTGTTAAAGGTATCACGGCATTGATGGAAGCTTGTAGAATATTTCCCTGCTAGGCTTCATAAATGAGAAAAAGGAGGGTGTGTGTGGCAGCCACCCACAGGCAGCGAGAAAGCCAATATTCTCTTTGGGAGGTTTTGATAAGAAGCCGGCAGTTACTTTTTTCCCCTTCTTCAATGAAAACTCTGGTTTGGGCTTGCTGGCAAATGCCGTGTGAAGCTCATCTTTTATTAGTCTGCCGAACAATGTTATTGGTTATAATTGGGGCAATTATGAGCTGCTGGAGGAAGCTAAACACAGATGTTTAAGCCTTGGAATCAGGGTATTCAAGTCCAAAGCAGCATGCTTTAAATAGCCCCGTTCCCGAATCATTCTGCCTTACTTGAAATCCCCCCCAAACTTGTCGCTGTTCAAAGGGAGATGGGGAGAGGAGAGGATGGATACAGAGGGAGGGGAAGCGAGACACACGACGGCTCTGGGGAGACGCACAAAGAGAGGAGGAGGAGGAGGAGGGAAAGAAGGAGGCCGAGGGAGAGCAGCAAGAGTTTAGATGCTCTTTGTGACTGTGAATGAGAGTTTCACACGACCTGGGCAGAGACCTTTAGGAGGGGCAGATGGGCAGCAGGGCGAGTAGGAGGAAGATGCCAAGAAATAAAGATCTCAAAACAACTCAGGACCTGGAGGACCAAGGTCATGGCTTCAGAAAAGCCCATGAAATTTCCTTTGCCGTCCAGCCATGTGCACAGGTGGAGCTCAGCCGCAGGCTTTTCCCCACATCATTAGCCATTTCCATTCGGATGTGAGAGAACTCAAATTTGAATGGCATCAAGTTCAAGGATACCTTGAGAAGCAGCTTGTGCAAAGAGCAGGAAGCCACAGAAAGGTGCCAGGGGCTGCCCGGGGCCACTCCCAATGGCAAGCCCTCCTCCCTCCGGTGCCTGCTGCTTGCCTCCCTCTCTCCTGTGGCCACCTCTTCCATGTATAGGCGTCACCAGGTAGGGACCACAACTGGGAAAGCAAAACTTTTCATTTCCAAGTTCAGCTTTCTTACATATCTCTCTTTGAGGTTGACCAACCTTCAGCCCTCCCCCTTCCCTACCATCAGAACACTGGGAAATAAGATGAATGAAGCCATAATCTCACAAGAGGCCAGCAGCAGCCACAGTGGACAAAAGACAGAAGCCGAGGAGCCAGCCGGGCTGCCTTGCTCTCCGCAGAGGCTCCAGGCAGAGTTAGTGCTGGCTGGCTGGTACTGGGGGTCACATGCAGTTCCTACCTGACGCTGTCCGTCACAGGGCTCCCTCAGATGCAAGGCTTGTTCCTCCGTGTCAGCCACACCAGCATATATATCCTTCCCCCACGCACAGCCCTCCCCTTCCCTGCCCACCTCGATGACACATGCCTACGCTGACCCCCTTCATCAACCAAACAGCCCAACTACAGTCCTGCCCGGCCGGCCCCCTCCCCTGCTCTGCGCTCAGACTTGTGACACGCCAACCTCCCCATCAATCCAGCCTCCAGCCTGCTTCACCTGGACTCGGTTCAGTCAGGATCCCTTAGCTGCCTCTCTGGTTGCTTCCAGAGGCACTGCGAGGATGGCCAGCCGGGAAGATCGGGCAGATCACTCACAAAAACAGACTCCTGGAGACCGGATGAGACAGACCCCAAATCCTGGAGTCTTCTTCAGTAACCTTTCTGCTTGAAGAGAGAGGAACAGGCAGCAGGCAGGAGGGAGGGGAAGCTGATGCCCAGTTCCCACTGGCTCAGAGAAGAGCTGAACCGAGTCCTCTTAATGTCCTGGTCCCACTGGGGTGGCAAGGGCCAGGACACTTGGGGTGGCTCTGGAGGTGTTTCCACAGGTGCCCACAGCATGGTGCAGAATGCATTGCAGAGCACAGGCTCACAGGGAGCAGCAAAGATTCTGGCGTCTCCCTTCTGTGAGCCTCAGGTCCTCCTCTGTAAAACAGGTGCTCCACCTCTGGGGTGGCTGGGAGCAGAGCAACGAGATTCTGTCTGTCTGGGACACGGAGGACTTTTAATAAATGCTAGTGTTGTGTTCTCCCCCATCACATCCTATTTTCATGCCAACTGGTGCCACCCGAAGTCTCATGTCAGCACCTAGGGTTACAATATGAGGGTTTCCAGCTGCTGCTGCACCCTAGGGTGTTGGAATCTGGTGAAGATACCCTAGCCCTTGGTGTGGAACCTCTCTTCTTCTCAGTTTAGGCAGAGAGAGGTCTGCAGACAAGGTAGCTCCCAGGCAGCCAGGGCTCAGCGTTTGCCACATCCCTGGAGACCCCCTTTACTTGACCCAGGAGAATTGCACTGGGACTTGGTCCTTGGTTTTCCTGAGAAGATCTAAAATATTCCAGAGCTGTAAGGGTTAAGCTTTCATCATCCAAGTGGCACAAGCGTTCACTCAAGCGACAGGGCAGACTCCTTGATGGACCCAGGACTGGGCAGAGGAGGGTTAGAGGAAGCGCCTGCCCTGATCATCGAGAGGTGCAGTATTTCTTTTAAGTGTGATGGAACTGTTTTGCGATGGTGAATTCCGAGTTATAGGAATAATTTCTCAATAAAAAGCTAACAACAAGCAATCAAGCACCTGCCCAGGTGAAGCACATAGTCTAAAAAGAAAATCCCTAGTCATCTGGGATCACAGTGACAAGGCCCAGGGGACCAGCATGCCGGTGGCTCTGCACATAGATCTCTGATGTCCAGACTTTACGCTTTGTTACTACAAATCCAAGCAGCCACTGCGAACTCTTTGGGAAATCATGCTTTCTGCATGACAGGGCAGTTTTTCATCCTGCAGTGCAGTGGGGTCCCAAATCTGGAGCCTCATTTCACATGCTGTGGCTGGAAGCTGTACAATATCTTCCCACTCCCGTTTGCTATTTTTAGAAAATATTTTTATTGATTCAAGAATTTCATACAATGTATTTTGATAATATTTAGACCCCACCCCACACTTTCCACCTCCACCCTCTGACTTTATGTCCTCTATTATTACTATTTTTTTTTTAAGACCTATCGAGTCTAATCTGTGTTTCCCAAGTGCGCCTGGGTGTGGGTCTATCCCTTGGAGTCCAGTCAACCTACCAGTCATCACACCAGTAAGGAAAACCAACTCTTCCTCCCCCAGCACACATAAGGCACCACTAGATCCTCAGCTGGGGCTAGGGCTTCCTGCCCACCTCCCCCATCCATGATGGGCCGCTGTCTGGCTTGGGTTTCTCCCGTTGCTATCGAGCAGTGTCTGATTTTATTCTAGATGACAACGTGCTCAGCTAAAAGCCTAAAGTCAAGCCACTAGTCTTTAAGGTAAGATTTGGGGAAAGTTCTTTTAAGGGGGTCATCTTAGCTGGAAGAGGCCATTTCTTTTCCCTTCCTCCTCTCTTGGAACACAACTATAGTAATGAGTTCTAGCAGCTCTCTTAAGACAAGTTTGAGGCTGAAAGCTGAACCACTTTTCTTATTGTTCAGGACAAATATTGGACAAAACGACTTAAGGAAGGAAGGGTATATTATGGCTGACAATTGGAGGGTACAGGCTATCCTGGGAAGTTAGAAGGGCAGGAGTTTGAGGTAGGTGGTTACATTGTAGCCACAGTCAATGAATTCTGGTGCCCAGCTCACTCTCTCTTTCAGCCTGGAATCCCAGGCAATGGAATGGTACCATTCACATTTAGGCGCTTCTTCCTTCCCCAATTAACCCAATCAAGAAACTCCCTCACAGACATGCCTAAGAGGTGTGTTTCCATGGTGATTCTAAATCCCACCAGGTTGACAATCAAGGTTAATCATCACAAAATCCATAGGCTAAAGACATACAGATAGAGGTTTCTGGGTCCCCTATGGCTCCAAGCTGCCACATTGACCCTGGACTGCCAGCCATCACTTTCTTTTAAAGGGAAAAACTCAAACCTTTATTTCCAGTGTCAGCAAGGCTTGGGTTACATGTTGCAGCATTGCAGTCAATACAAAAGTCAGAGGCTTAAAATGACAGACCCCTGGCTTGGCTCATGATTCTGCAGTCTGGGGAGTCAGGCTGTGCTCAGCAGGGCCGCTCTGGCTTTAGTGTGATGCTCTCATGATCCTCTCATTCTCTGCAACCAGCTGCAGACTGGACTCCAGGGGCTGGCTGGCTGCTGGCTTAGGGGTGGGCTCTGCCCCTCTCCACATAGCTCTCCTTGCTGTGTCCTTTATATGGCCCCAGCACACGTGGTCTCACAGCAAGACTGCAGTACAAGTGTAACCAAACCCAACCAAGCAAGGGCGAATCAGCCAGTGGGTCCTCTTGTGGCATCAGAGTAGAGCTGGCATTTTACTGCTTTGCTGAATGTCTTGTCTGAGGCAGTCCTTGGGTTGTCCAGGGCCAGGTGGACTGGAACTAGAAAGTCATGAGACAAACAAAAGGGGACAGCTGTCCACAGCCAGCCTACACCGTCTGTTCTAAGTTACTGCTTTGACTTTTCTGTTACGTCTTCTCAAATGACATACCTGTCATTCATTTGGTACCTTCTGAGAATGTTGAAAGAGTCAAATGCTTTTCTGCTCCTGCAGCTCAGGGAAAGAAAAAGCAAGAGTGGACAGTTAATACCTCTGACCTTTTCTTTCCTCATTCATCAAATGGGAGAGGTAAAGCTAGTGGCCTAGAGGTTCTCTGGGGGTCCAATGAAGAGGCATGCCATGTAAGACTATCTCCAAGATGGAGGGAACCCATGTCTGCCACAAATGAGGGCTTTCTTCTGGGTACCTTGTAGCAGAATCATGGTGCCCTGAGGCCCATGGCTTCCCTGTTCCACAGGTGTAGTGACTGGTTGGAGAGCTGCAAGTTGCCATCTGCTTTTCTGACTGAGCAGATGCCGTATTAAAATAGCTCAGTTGGTAAAGTAGTTGTCTTATAAGCATGAGAACTTGAGTTAGATACCCCAGAACTTATGTTAAAAAAGCCAGGCAGGCATGGTGGTATGGAATTGTAATTTGTGTCCTGGGGAGGCAGAGACAGGTGGGTCCTTGGGATTTGCTGGCCAGGCAGCTTAGCCTACTTTGCAAGTACCAGACCAATGAGAGGCTGTGTCTCAAAAAACAAAATGATGGCACCTGAGGAATTATGCTGAGGTTATCCTTGCACATGCACACACAAATAGTTGATGTTGCCAGGCATGGTGGCACACACCTTTAATTTCAGCACTCAGTAGGCAGAGGCAGATGGATCTCTGTGAGATCTAGACCAGCCTGGTCTAAATAGTGAGTTCTAGGTCATCTGGGGCTACAAGGAGACCCTGTTTCAGACAAACAAAAAAGCACAAACAAAAACATAGTTGATATTATGGTTTGAAACCGAAATGTCTCCCCTTGGCTGATTTGAATGCTCAGTCCCCAGCTGAGCTTTTAGGAGATGGACCTGGGAGAGGTAGGTTTCTAGGGATGGGCCATAGCACGGGATACCCACCCTTGGTTCCCATCTAAGCTCTGTTTCTGATCTACCACCATGTGAGGAGTCTCCACCATACTCTACTGCTGTATGAGCTCTACCATGAGGGACTGCAGCCATCTGAACACGAGCCATAGTAAACCCTTCCCATAAGGTGTTTCTGTCAGCTTTCGGTCACAGTGACAAGAAAGGTAGCTAATACACTTGGTGAGAAAACTCACGGCACCTAATTTCTCCTCCTTTTGTGTTATCCACATGAGCTTGTCTCTCTTTTACAATAGAGGACCCAAAGCCCAGACCAGGAAGATTAGACTCCAGCAGTTATGGGTGAGTCTTGAGACAGGCTGAGCATACTCTTAGAACAATCATCAGAGTCTCCCTGGAGGGGAAGTGTAAGGGAAAGAAGGTGGTCAGAACCTTGCTAGTCCCTCAGGTGAACCTCACCAATCTCCAACCACCCAGACTTTCCCCTCTCAAGACTAAGAGTGCCTTCTTCCCAGGTAAATGACTGCCCTGGATTTACTTGATGAATCACCTACCTATAGGCAATTGATCTCCTTAGTAACCATAGCAGCAGGATCCCAGCTGGAAAAGCTGCTGCTTTTTTCCAAAGAGGGCAACCCCACTTCACATTTTAAGACTCTTTCAAGTTGGAATGTAAGAGGACTTTAAAAATAGACACATCTCTCCACAATTTTGTGTCAAAATGTGGATGGGCTTTTGAACTATTGCAGGCAAGGTGAATTTCAGTGTTGTGTAAGAAATAGGTCCCCTCCACCTGATTTATTTATTTATTTATTTATTTATTTATTTATTCTTTTGCAGTGCTGAGGATGGAACCTGAGCTTTGCACATGCTAAGCAAGTGATGCACTACTGGGCCACATCTCCAGCCCAAGATAAAAAGATAGTACATAAAAATCGTCCATATCTAGGATTACCATGTGATAGAGGGATTCTGTCAACAACACAGGATGACCAATAAGGGTAGTTAGCATCTCCATCAAGCATTGATTGCTTCTCTGTGTTGGGATACTCCCAGTCCTCTGTTCTAACTATTTTGAAACACACAGTAAGTCACTGCTAACTGTGCTATAGAGGCTAGAACCTAGTCCTCCTGTCTAACTGTTTGTACCTCTTGTCTAATTCTTCCGTTTGCTCCCTCCCCTTGCAGCTCACTGTCTGGTAACCATCGCTCTGTTTTCTGCTTCCTCAACTTTAACACTTTTTGTTGAAATAGGGTTTTGGCATTTTTCTAAGACTGATCTCAAACTCTTGGGCTTAAGTGATCTTCCCGC